ACCTACAAAAGGCACTCCGACGCTCAAGTCAGGACAAACACGATTCTCTAGGATAATAAATGAACAGTGACATACCTCGTTTCGTGTGACTTATTTGTAGTACCTGTCATGGGCCTGAGCATGGTGGGCCTTCTCTGACACTTACCAATACCGCGTTCTGGGCCGAGTTGAGTTTCGATAGGGAGGGCGTGAATTTTTAACAGTCGTGTTTTTGGCCGAGAGGGTTCTCGGGAGGGAAGACTTAATAATTGAATTAAAGCCACGTCCTTGGCTGAGAGGGTTCTCGGGAGGGAAGACTTAATAATTTAGAAGCCACGTCCTTGGCTGAGAGGATTCTTGGGAGGGAAGACTTAATAATTTAAAAGCTACGTCCTTGGCCGAGAGGGTTCTCGGGAGGGAAGACTTGTAGAAACTTTGCAAAAATGTAAAATGAGTCATGGATAGTTGAATTGTATTATCATTAATGATTGGATGCCTCGTTAAAAACCTTGCCGGCCAAAGCCTCTTTTCACAATTTTTTAAGACGAAAAAAGACCGGTTCAAGGAAAAGAGTGCATCCTAAGACATTTATACATGTACATGAATTAAATTCTAACTATAATAAGTCTTTAGATGGGTAGAATTCCATGTCCGAGGGATGACCTTGCCAGACAATTCTTCCAATTTGTACGCGTCGTTATTCAGAGCGTGTCGGACTCGGAATGGGCCATCTCAGTTTGCCGCCAACTTCCTTTCAGTCGGGTTGCGCCATGCCGAACCGGTTGCCGTCCAAACAAGATCACCTTCTTGGAAGTTCCTTGGTTTCAACGTGGAATTAAATCGCCGAGTCATTCTCTGTTTACACGCTTCGGCTACGATTTGTGCTTTCTCCCGGGTTTCGTCTACGACGTCAAGTTCGGCTCGGATTATGCCATCATTAGACTCTTCGTGAAAGTGCTTCCGTCGGAATGAAGGTTCGCCCACTTCAACCGGTATCATAGCATCCGTTCCGTAAGCCAATTGGAACGGAGTCTCTCTTGTGCTTGATTGGGGCGTGCATCTGTATGCCCAGAGAACTTCGGGGAGTTCTTCGGCCCAGACTCCTTTAGCCGTGCCGAGCCGTTTCTTCAACTCAGTCAGGACAACTTTGTTAGTTGCTTCGGCCTGACCATTGGACTGTGGATGTTCGACAAACGTGAATCGGTGCCGGATGCCGAGGTTTTCAAGGAAGTTATTGAATTTTTTATCTGTAAATTGAAGCCCATTGTCGGAGATGATGGCGTGTGGGATGCCGAACCGGGTGATGATATTTTTCCATACGAATTTCTGGACATTAGAGGCCGTTATTGTTGCAAGCAGTTCGGCTTCAATCCACTTGGTAAAATAGTCCACAGCCACTACTAGGAATTTGCATTGGCCTTTGGCGAGTGGGAACGGGCCGATGATGTCGATACCCCATAGAGAAAACAGCCAAGGGGCACTGATAGCGTGCAGCTGCTCGGTCGAAGCATGTATTAGGTTGCCGTGTTATTGACATTGCTTGCATTTCTTCACATACTCGGCACAGTCGGTTTTCAGGGTCGGCCAGTAATAGCCGGCCCTCCACACCTTAGCAACTAATGTCCTTCCACCCGAGTGGGATCCGTAGATTCCTTCGTGAATTTCTCGCATGACGTAGTCGGCTTGCTACTGGTCGATGCATTTCAACAAGGGTGTGGAGAGCCCTCGTCGGTATAACTCTCGGGCCACCACGGAGTAGCGTGCTGCTTGGGTTCGGATCTTCCTAGCTTTGACCGGATCGGCCGGTTCCGAGCCGTTAATAATTAAATTCCAGACATCGGTCATCCATGTTTGTGAGGCTTCATCTACCGGCATGCATTCTTGTGTGACACTCGGGGTGGGAAACTCTAAGTGTATTGTTGACCGCAGCTGTCCCGACTTGCGACTACTTGCTAGCCGTGCTAATTGGTCGGCCCTCTCATTATTCCCGCGCAGCGTGTGCCGGACTCGTATCTCTTCGAACTGGTTGCTCATTCCCCGGAAAAAGTGGTAGTACTTGAGTAGATTAGGATCTTTCACTTGAAAGTTGTTGTTTACTTGTTCGGTGACAACCTTTGAATCGGTCCAGCATGTGATTTTTCTAGCCCCCATCTCGGCTGCCAATCTCATCCCGACCAACAAAGCTTTGTACTCGGCTTGGTTGTTGGATGCCCGGAAGCCGAAATGCAGTGATTGTTCCAAGGTAATGCCGGATGGGCTTTCTAAGATGATGTCGACGCTACTGCCTTGGTCGTTGGAGGAGCCGTCTGCGCGCATTGTCCAAGTGCTGTCCTCGAAGTGGCCGAGTGGTGATAGTTCATTGACAAAGTCGGCTAAGCTTTGTGATTTGATGGCCCCCCGGGGTTCAAAACGGATATCGAACTCGGATAGTTCGATTGACCATGCCATCATTCGGCCGGCCAATTCTGGTTTTCGCAACACTTTAGCAATTGGGCAATCGGTTCGGACCACCACTGTGTGACTCTGGAAGTACTGCCGAAGGCGCCTAGCAGCATACATGAGTCCAAACGCTACCTTTTCCAAGAGTTGGTATCGGCGCTCGGCATCTTGAAGTACCCATCTTATGAAGTATACGGGTTGCTGTTGGCCGTCTTGTTCTTATATCATGTCGGCGCTTATGGCCTCGCTAGAAACCGCCATGTATAGAACTACTCTCGGCCGGGGGTCGGTTTGGTCAGCACAGGTGGGGTGCCGAGCCGTTTCTTGAAGAGTTGGAAAGATGCTTCGAACTCATTTGTCCATTGAAACCGATTTGCCTTTTTCAAGAGACCAATGATCGGCTTGGAGGTCTCGGCCATACATGGTAGGAAACGAGACAATGCTGTCAGTCGGCCAGCTAACTTTTGGACCTCTTTCAAGTTTGATGGGCTTCTCATGTCGATAATAGCTTGACATTTGTACGGGTTAGCCTCGATGCCCCGACTTGATAACATGAAACCCAAGAGCTTGCCGCCCGAGACGCCGAACACACTTGTCAGGATTAAGTCTCATCTAGTGCCTCCGAAGTGCATGGAAAACTTCGGCCAGGTCGGCTACATGGGAAAGTGTGTCGGCCGATTTGACCACCATATCATGTACATAAACCTCCATGTTCTTCCCAATCTGGTCGCCAAAGATCTTGTCCATCAACTGTTGATATGTGGCCCGGACGATCTTCAGGTCGAAAGGCATTACTTGGTAACAGTAGTTGGTAGATTCCGTGACGAATGTCGTCTTGTCCTCGTCTCGGGGATGCATACGGATTTGATTATAACCCAAGTATGCATCGAGAAATGTCAAGAACTTATGGCCGGCCGCGCCATCAACCAATCGGTCTATGTTCGGCAACGGATAGGCATCCTTGGGATAGGCTTTGTTCAAGTATGTGTAGTCGGTGCACATTCACCACTTTCTGTTCGACTTTTTGACCATGACAACGTTGGCCAACCATGTTGTGTACTGGATTTCTCGAATGAAACCCGCTTCCAAGAGCTTGGATACCTCTGCTTCAACTGCCTTTTTCCTTTCTTCCCCAGTTTTTTTTTTCGTTGGGCAACCGGTTTTGCCTCTCGGCACACTGAGAGTTTGTGGCACAAGAAATTGGGGTCGATACCTGGCATATCGGTCGGCCGCCAAGCGAAGAGATCTTTGTTTTTCCTAATGACATGTTCGATTTCGTGCTTTTCTGTCTCGGACAGGTTAGAGCCTAGGTAGGTCACGTGTAGGTCGGTTGGCCTGATAACAATTGGGTGTCGGTCTTCAATCGGCTCGACCCTCTCGTCCTGCTCCATTCGAGGGTCGAAGTCTACAATAGTGTCAAGCACTTGCGCTACTGTGTGTACGCGCTTTACTCCGCGCGGCTCGGCCCTTTCGAGACGAGGTAGTCGAAGACTGGCGAAATAGCACTCTCTGGCCACTTTCTGATCCACATGGACCGTGATGATTCAGCCTGATTCCGATGGGAATTTCATGGCTAAGTGTGGAGTGGACACGATCGCACCTAACTTATTGAGGGAAGACCTTCCGAGAAAAATGTTGTACGATGTGTTAGCGTGTACAACCACGTATTTAACTGGGATGTCTCGGGCTTCGGCTCCGTCGAAGTAGAAACGGGTGGATAACTTGATGTACCCTTTTGTTTGGACACGCTCGCCAGAAAATCTAACCAACGGTTCATTGTACGGGATCAATTTGGCCTCCGGGATGCCGAGCTGTTTAAATGTGTTCCAGTATAGTATGTCGGCCGAACTCCCCTAGTCGACCAACGTTTTCTAAACGATGCAATTATGGATTTCCACGCTGATGACCATTGGATCGTCTTGATCCGGATCAATGCCTTTAAAGTCAGCTTCAGTGAATGTGATGGCCGACAACCTTCTCTGAGGGCGTTCAACCGCATGTACAGCTCGGACGGCTTGCAAGTGTCTCTTTTGGGCTGAAGAGGTGGAACCGCCACCTGCGAATCCACCGGCAATGGCGTTGATGACTCTTCGGGGCTGGGATGTCGGCTCGTCTTCCTTTCGGCCCCGCGATCGGCTCCATTCCCTGTAGGAGCGCCTGTCGGGCCTATCTTGGTCAAGCTGATCCTGACGATGTCGGCGGTCATGATATCCGGGGGAACGAGGTCGGTCAACAAAGCGTTGGAGCTACCCCTGTTTGATTAGGTCTTCAATTTTATCTCTCAAAGCCGCGCACTCCTCGGTCGAGTGGCCGCGATTTCGATGATACTTGCAGGATTTGGTGGTGTCGGCGCGTGGAGGGGTCGAGGCTCGCTTTGGCACTGCTAGGACCTCCGACGCAAGTGCCTGATCCAAGACTGCTGATCGGCTAGTGTTTAATGGAGTGTAATGAGAGTATCTCAGCCTGCGAGCAGGTTTTTCTCGGGGAAAGAGATCCTTGGGACGACTACGGAAGGAACTTTCGACCGACTTCTCTACTTTAGTCGCTACCTCGGCCTTGGCCTGATTGCGAAACTCCGCAAGTTCCTCCATCTGCATGTACTTATCGGCGCGCCGACGCAAGTCATCCATGTCGATTGGTGGTTTCTTGCAAATGCTGTTGGCAAAAGGTCCCGGTTTCAGGGTGGTGGTGAGGTGGTGGAGAGCCACAGCGGGATTCAGGTCTCGGATTTCGAGTGCCGCCTTGTTGAATCGACTCATGAACGTTCGAAGGGACTCTTTCTTCTCTTGCCGAATACTTACCAAGGCCATGGAAGTCAGCTGGTGTGGTCGGCTTGTAACGAATTGGATAGTGAATTGGGATGCCAAGGTGTTGAAGGAGACGACTGAGTTGGCTGGGAGCCTTGTGAACCAACTCAATGCTCGACCTTTCAACGATGTTGAAAAAATTCGGCATAAGGCGGCGTCGTCGGTAGTGCTGAGGGTGACTTGGGTCAAAAAGACGTCGACATGCTCGTCGGGGTCAGTAGTTCCATCATACTTGTCTAACGGGAGAGACTTCCAATGGTCGAGGAGGGAGGATTGCATGATGTTTGGGGTGAAAGGGTGTCGGTGTGTTTCGGTCGGCGGAGCGTACACGGGTCGGCCGATTACTTGGGCAGCCGAGGTGTGGTTTTCCGGGGCGACAGCAGAAGTGTGAGGGAGAGAGGTATGATGTCCGAGCGAGTGGAACGACCCCTGAGTGTGAGTCGGCTCGGAGGGTTTCCACGTGGGATCCTGGTTTTGGTTTTTTAGGGCGGCGTTCTCTTCCCTCAAGGCGGCCATCTCACGAGCATCTTTCTCTCGTTGCTGCTTCATGGCTGTCATTTCCTCTTTCATTTGCTGTACCATCTCGGCCATGTTAGTCTCGTCAACTGTCTTGACATTGTCTGCTTCGGACCGGTGCTCCTCCTCGGATCGGTGCTTCAGTGTGTGTTCTCCTTGTCTTTGTCATGATTATCGTCGTAACTGTTCTCTATTGGTCCTTGGCCGAGCCGATAGGAGAACAGGTATTTTCCGAGTCCTTGGCCCCTTATCGAGCCAAAGTGGTGTCCGAGCTGCGTCAATGTCTGATAGGACATAACGTGTCGGTCCACGTGGCCGATCCACGTGGCCGATAGGACCCTTTGGTTATCTATATTATACATGAAAACTTAAGTAGTGTGATGATGTTGTTGGTCTATTAAACAGTGAAACTTTGGTATGAATTATTAAAAAGACTATTAACATGATTCCAACCAAAGTTTTACTATTTAATGGACCACTAACATCATCACCACACCACTCAAGTTCTCATGTATAATTACTTTAACTTGAACTAGAATCGTACAGACTAGGACGATGCAGATTGAAGCACCCGACGCAGGTACACAAGAAACAAAGCCAACACTTAACTCGACACAAACCAAAATTCAAATAAATAAAGGTCCAACCAGGTCCAGTAAGTCACGTTTCAACCTAAGTTTTACCGGTTTGATGACATTATCACCTCATTAATTACCTGCAACGTTTTTTATCTAATTCTCAGCTCAAATCGTCTATATGACTGGGTCTCGGTTGGATTGACGAGTCTGACCCAAGTTTTAAAACACTGCTTGGAATAGAGAGAACAATGTTTTGCGCTTTAGAATACACGATATTGTTGGTTAGTTGGAATGGACATTCCTGCTAT